AAAGTCTTAAGTATATACTGCTTGTAATCTGTATTATTTTATATATTTATAAAATTTGTCCAATTACTTATAATCTTCCTGGGGGGTTAAGCAAGGAAAGTACAATGTTAAATAAGCAAGAAAAAATACTTTTAAAACTTGGCAATTTCCAATATAATTTTATAAATTGTCAAGTTATACAAGTGATTATAATATACTTCCTAAATTACAAGGTTAAGACATACTTATTAATTTGTGACAGTATAATATCTGCTTATAATGCTTACAAGTCATTACAAGTGTTTGAATAGCTTTCTTTTGCTTACTATACAATTTTATATCAAATAATTAATTAAACATAATTATATTTAAATTATAGAATACAAAAATAGGAAATAATATGCTATTTCTACAGTCCCAACCCCTATACCACCAGCTGCCTCTGCCTCATTATTCTGTGAGTAGGATTCGTGTTGGAAAAGGATGAACGCATCCTCAGACCGTTTGATGTAGTCTTCGTCACCATGTTTGGTCGTCACTCAGGACCTGTGAGTCAAATTGTGTGTGTGTGTGGGATGAGGTCGAGCAGGTTGTGGAGGTTGAGGCTGTGCCTGTTAGACAGGTTTAGAGTAGTTAGCAAGTGACAATAGGAGATAAAAGGTGGACGTACTGCAACAGCGTGCAGTGAGTGTGAGTAGTGCATACAGGTTGAGATCTGGAGCGTTGAACGAGTTGATTCAGGCTGTAGACAAAGCCGTATCAGTACGCATATGCTACATATTCTGACTGTGACGTGCAATTGGGGGAGCAGTGAACTGAGTCGTTTTTGTGGATTGCAAAGGTGTATCTCTGGGACGTACCAGCTCGAACAGAGAAGGCAAAGTGGAACGTATGGATGGACTCAGCTCAAGAGGGGTAAGTGGCAGTCCACTGCTTCCGTTCAATATGGTGTTGTCTGCTACACTAGGGAATGTAAATGCACGTGGGGTGGACCTGTAGAGAGTGATGTTAAGCATGGAATGGGTAGGGAAGGAGAGTGCATACAGTGTCGAAGAGAGGGTCGTACCATGGGAGTGGTCGTACGTTGGTATTGTCACGAGCATGCACTTGTTGACTGTTGCTTGCACTACAGAGCAGGAAGTACACAAATGTATGGAAACATTGAAGAAGTCATTCGGCATGGGTCAACAATGCGGATGCACGAATGCAAATGCAAAAAGGAAGGTGAGTGTAAACAAAGGAGGACAATGAAGGAGAGGCAACGCAAGTGGCGGAGCGAGGAGCGGGAGGGGTGGAAGGGAGACAAAAAGTTGGGAGGAGAGGGATGAGCAACCATTGTGCGAGTTATTATGAAGTGGACTGTCTGCTTACGCTTTACGATGAAGGATGGTGTAGTCAGCTCGGTGGCATCATTGCGGGATCTGAGGCTCAGCGCGGGCATCGCAGCGGCAGATTGGAGAGACAAGTATGGTGATGTTTATTGCCTATGTTGAAGCAGGCAGAGTGCCCGCCAGTGGGACACTTGTAGGCAGAGGACTGGGCTAGAGAGAACAAGAGCAACGACATAGTGTTGGGGGAAGAGGATTGGGGAGATGGTGGAGGTAGGAGGGAAAGGAGTGACGAGAGCAAGTGCATCATTATATGCTCTCGATCTTCGGTACTCAATTACGTA